CCCCCGCACTGGATGGAGCGACACTCCTGGGGCCCAAGTGACCCTGACTATGTCCTCTCCCCCTACACCTCCCCCCCTCCCCCCCAAGAGAGAACACACAGGAGACTCGGGGGTCTGATTCCCCTCGGGACCCACATGCCACCCACTTTCATCCCTTAAGAACTAGCACAAGCTCCCTCACCCCAAGCCTTCAGTGGAAGGAGAAGCCCTGGGCACAGCCCAGAGGGTCTACACCACCGCAGGGGCCCAGCGTCAAGGCGTGGGCCCCGACACTCACTTGGAGAGACTCCTCTTGAGCTTGAGCCCCTGGCTGCTGCAGTCAGACAGGCGGTCGAGCGGGGACAGCGTCCTGACAGGGGGCAGGTGGCCGTCGCTGCCATAGGAGGGCAGCGTGCCCGAGAGGTGGCCGTCCCCTAGCACGTGGAGCGGGGGCACCGCTGGGGACGGTGTGAGGGGCCCGTTGAGGGCCTCCAGGAGAGACACCACTTCATAACCCGGCGGAATGTTCTCTGAGGACTAGGGAAGCAAGCAGACCGGAGGCAAATGCGTTAGCCCGTGTGTGCTGGCACACGCGGAGGCCGCGAGCGGGGCAGGAAGGGCAACAGCAGAGAAGACAGGCTCCCAGGTTGCGCCCCCAGATGAACTTCTTTTCCTGACTAGAATGGAAAGATGCGTTGCTTGCAGGAAATTTGGGAAATACATAAAGGAGAAAGAAGGAAAGAAAATCATCCATGACCACAGTCATCACTTTTGTTAGCATTCTGGCGTCCTTGATGCTGGACGTGCAGCTCGGCATCCTGCTTATGTCACCGGACACAAACACTTCCCTCTCTACGCTGCGAGGCTCCTTGCGCTGGCTACTTGGGGTGCCCAGCTCCACCTCTGACCAACGTCTGAGGGGCGCTTTTGTGTGCAAACCACTTTTCTCACTCTAAGGCTTGAGCCTGCAGGTGTGAGTGTTCTGAAGCCACTCCCTGCTCCCAGCAGCTGGCAGCCGGCCTGCCCTCTTCAGGGGTGCTCCCAGAGGGTGCTCCCACACGCCAGGCAGAAGGCCTCAGGAATGTCTTTTTTTTTTTTAAGATTTATTTATTTATTTATACAAGCACTGGGTACAGTCAGAAGCGTGGGAGGGTGAGAGAATTCACCAGAGCCAGAGCGGGGAGCAGAACAGGCAGAGGACCGAAGTACACTGCTGAGGGAGCAGCGGGCGGCAGGAGAGGTCTGCGCGCCATGTGGGACCCTCCTCCGGTGGCCGGGGAGCAGCCGGGGATCGAACCCGCGCTGCAGAGGCTGCGGGCAGCTTCGCAACCCAGCGCTCAACCGCTGCACCACCAGGGGAGGCCCGGGACCTGCAGTGTCTTTAACAAAGAAAGTTTGAACATTTCAAAGGTGAATCGAGGACGGTATCTCCTTTTAATTTGCCTACTGTTGATTTTGAATGCGGCTGACTTTTCAAAAATGATGGTTAACCAGCTGTGCTTCCTCCTCTGAGGGTTTTTAAAAGCTCCTTTGCCCAAAGATACTAGCCCTTCCTCGGAGGTGTATGTGTGTTTTTTAATTTCAACGCTTGTGGTTTGCCTTTTAATTCTGAACAACTCTTACACAAATGAAGGGAGGATTTTTTTTCCTGTGGTAAAATCTACATATATCGTGACATATGATTTTTGTAGTGGCCCTTCGCTTTTAAGCTTTGGGAGTTTCTCTCATCCAAAGTCAGCTAAAGAATCATCTATGATTGATTCTAGATGTTTAATGCTTTTTCGGTCACCTTTGTGTCTAACCTGGTTATAGTCGCTCCACCTGGAGTCCACTTGTGCCCTCAGGACTGAGGTCCGATCCCGAGACACCTCCCTCAACAGCCGTCACCAGGAAGCTCGCCCAGTCGGAGGAGGCAGGGTCTGGCGTGTGGAGCCGCAGAGCTTCCTGGCCCTGACACTACCAGTCACACCACAAAACCCCATTATTGCCCTTACTCGGTTCCCAGGCTTGGTAGCCACAAAATGGGCCTGAGGAAAACAGTTCCCTTATTCAAGGATTAGCATAAACACAGAATATTGTTTACAAATCTGAGATAGTCTTTCCCTGGTTTCTGATTGCGGGGCGGGTCCCAGGGTCAGACCTCACTGCTGCCCCTGACACCGAGCCCCTCATTTCCCGTGGTGCTCCTGGTGGGTCTAACACCACGTGGCCTCAGCCTTGTGCTGCAGTTTGGTGACTTGCCGGGAGGCGTGTGAAAAGAGCCAGCCAGGAGGTGACAGGGCGTCCCCGCGGGGGCTGGTCGGAGCCGACTTACCGAGTGTTCCTCCGAGTCGGAGGTCTGCGATGAGATGATGGGGTTAAAGCTGGTGGGGGACAAGGGGCCCAACTTTTTCCTCATGGCTCGGATCTGAAGCAGCGCCCGGAAGGCTGTGAGGAAGCAAAGGGGCCGTCAGGGGTCCCCAGGGGGCGCCCGAGGCCCCCGAGCCCCGCCCCCGCCCGCCGGCCCAGCTCACGCAGGCGGCAGATGGGGCAGTTGTTGGCCTGGTAGCGCAGGGTGTCCGCGCAGGTGTTGCACAGGCAGAGGTGACGGCAGGGCAGGATCAGGGTGTCCCGGACGTCCGACAGACACACCACACACTCGGCGCTGTTGTCGCTCACCTCGTCCTCAGCCACCTGGCGGGGGCAGGACGTGGCCGTGACGCGAAGGCCTCGCGTCCCCTGCTCTGCCAGCAACAGCGGCCACGTCTTCGTCTACACTGGATGTCGCGGTGGACCAAGCGAGTTCCTGGACTCGGTTCCACGTACTCCAGGACGTTTCTCTTGGGCTCATGAGGGGCCCCCCCACCCGGAAACCAGGGGGCAGAGCTCCCCAGAAGAACTGATGCAGACTGGCCCCTCACTTTTTAAAGACTTATTTCTAAAGTGACAAAAGCACGATCATCCAGGGCGGGGGAGGAGAAAGCACCCGGAGGGCCACAGCGGCCCCGGAAGATCCGTCAGGCGCGGGCGGTACTTGCCTTGGAATCCTGGGTGTTGTACTTGTTCTCGATGCCGTAGATCTCCTGGAGGAGGTAGCTGACCCCATCCACCTGGAGAGCAGACCCGGGAGGTCAGGGGCAGGTCGACGCCAGGGGGAGGTGGGAGGGGGGACTCGCCCCGCCCCTGGAAGCCAAGGGCTACTGACTCACGAGGGGGGAAATCAGAGGCCTAGGCAAGGAGAGGATGAGCTTCTTGACCCAGGTTTTCTCTCTGAGAGTGGAAAGAACGTCAAGTGTTTAACCCGCCCACCAGTCTCTCAAAGGGGAGCGGACGGCACACAGCCACCACCGCCAGGCACAGACCGGAAGGCGGTGGAAGCTCCTCCATGCCATGAAAGTTTAGAGGTTATAAAAATAAGGGAATGGAAAAAAGAAAGCGAGGGGACGGGGGTGAGCAAGAGAAAGAGGCGGGGAACACAGAGCAGAGAGAGCAGGACCGCGAAGGGGAGGCTGAGCGAGCCGGGCCCACCGCAGGGCCGCCCCTCACCACACTCAGCAAAGACCCACCTTGGCCTGTTTCGTAAGTGCCCCACGCCGGTGCCCAGCTCCACTCCCCTGGCCTGGGCCACACCACTGCCCACGCTGGCCCTTCTGATGTTTCTCTGCGTGGGCTGACACTTCCCCACCCCCCCTCAGCACCAGCAGCCCCTCCCCAATGCCCCCCCACCCCGGTCCCTGATTTCGCCCCCCTCCCTCCAGCTTCACCGAGTCTGCCGCTAGCGCCAATCCGGCAACACAGGACAGATGAGACACTCGCCTCTACCCACCTCCCGCCTTCTCCAGGCCTCCTGAGGAAACAGGCGACCTCCCAGGCCCGCCCTCCAGGGAGCACCCTGGGCTGAGGACCGGTCTCCTCGGACTCTCTTTAAACCTTGCTTTAACCTAGTGAGCACACGGGGAGGACAAGTACTACTGACCACTACCGACCTCGTTAAGAGGTGTCTCCAGCACTTGACCCAGAAGCACGAATATGAGAATTTCAGATGTCTGCCACCCTCCCGTGGGGCGACCTTTCACTGCCTCTCAACCCAGGCCCACCCACGGGCTCCACACCTGGAGTCCACTGTGCCCTCAGGACTGAGCCCCGATCCCGAGACACCTCCCTCAACAGCCGTCACCAGGAAGCTCGCCCAGTCGGAGGAGGAGGCAGGGTCTGGCGTGTGGAGCCAGGCCTCCTCCCCCAGCATGCGTGCGTGGGAGGGAAGGTGCCGGCGCCCAGGGGTGTCGGGCTTCAGCTACACGTGTGTGCCCTCTAGTTGTTCTGGAAGGGGGCAGAGCGGCAGCGGGCTCTGACGTTTAGAAAAGAAATGGTGGAATAAATTCAGCCCAGGGCTGGGTTCCCACCGATACTTTGTCCTTTAGTTTGAAATGCCGCTTGCCTTGACATTTGAAATAAAAAGAGCTCTCCCACCCTAACGCCAGGGACAAACCTCGCCCTTTCTTCCCTCGAGTCCTCTGCGCAGATACTGGCTGTCTCGAGACCAGCAACGCGGGAGCAGGAAGACGCGCGCGAGCAGTGTTCCTTTCAGGCCACCCAAGTGGTTTCTAACACAGAGAAATGCTCCCTTCCGCCCCCCCCCCCTGTTTTCTTCTCCAGTTTTGAAGAAGTGGGGGGGGGCGGGAAAGAGTGTTTAGCGAAAGGGCAGAACAGAGACAAAGCACAGGCAAGAAATACGGGGAGCAGGGGAGGCCGACAGCTCCGGCCCCAACACTCACCACTTGTTTCTGTTTGAGGGGCTTGACGCAGAAGGTGCCGTCGGTGTGCTGCAGCGGGTCAGGACAGACGCTGTCAGGACAGTGGGGGGGGGCCCAAGGTCCCGGTGACCTGCATTTCTCTCCCCCACACGCGTGGATGCCTCCAGGGCACACCCGGACTCCCAGCACTCCAAGGCCTGACTGGGGTCTCGTCTGACCCTCCCCTTGGAGGAGACCCGGGGCCACGCAGTGTGTTGATGGCGCAGCTGGGCGGATGCCACTGGGGCCCCGAGCGTGTCCCCTCCACGCCGCTGCCTCCCCAACCAGACCCTCTGCTGGGTTCAGGCCACCACAAAGCAGGGTGTCCTCACGCAAAGAAAGGACCCCACTGACCACGTAGGGCCCTACAAAGGTGCTCTTACCTTCTCGAAAGTGCCCAGCAGGACATGGCAGTGGCCAAAATACTCTGAGAGAGAGAAAGACGCAGGGGTGAAGGTCAGGACTCGAGCCACACGGGCCCTGCGTGTCCTCCCACTGCCCGTTCCTTGCGGCCGGTGGTCCCCAGCCGGGGCCGCAGTGTCACCCATGCTAGCCTCAGCAGCCCAAGGAGCTGGGGACGGGACTGGTGTGCTGCAGCTGCCCCGGTGACGCCCACGGAGAAGACGTGCTATTCTGGGGCACAAAGGGTGGAGGGTGAGCCCAAGAAGGCGCCTACCGTCTCCCTCATCCACCACAGCCTGGACCACGAGCGGGTACACCTCTCTGTCCAGGTCGAAGCTGAGCTGGAGGGAAAGAGGGAAACGCAAGAGGACGTGACATGTTCTGCTGGCACAGGAGTCGCTCGACAGCGGCTGGAGGAAGCATGAACCTCAGCCTTGCTCCTTGTTCAACCTTGGAACTAAGTCCATCCAGCTGCAGCCCCTAGTTTTAAAAAATCTGGCGATTTGGTCTGTGGACGTGACCTTCCAGGTGTCCCAGGTGAGGGGTGACTCTGGAGACAGGCACGAGGCGGGCGGTGGATCCCCTCAGAACCTGACCACGAGGCTGGGGGTGAGCAGGGCGGCCCAGCCTGCCCTCCGCTGGCGGACCCGCAGCACCCGCACCAGCCGGGCCCCAGCAGCCCGTCACCCCCAGTCACTGACCTCGTCCTCGGCCCACTCCGAGGGGTCCACGGTGTGGGAGGGCAGGCAGAACTGCTGGCACACCCCCCGCTTGTAGTGCACCGTCTCCGACTGCAGGCTGTTGTCCTTGGGGATGTAGCTGCGGATCAAAGAGGGAGCGAGGGGAGTTGCCCGGCTGACCTCTGCCTGCCCGGGCAATGATCGAGCCGCTCCACATACCAAAAAGAAAAATCTCCTTTATCGGCTCTTGCCTGTGCTCTTGCTGGATAACTACTGAATCCCTTGGTTCAACCCACACCCCCAGAAAGGTGGCTACGTGGAGCTGCAACAGCCTCTTGGGGACCCGGAAGACCACGCCCCCAGGGCGGGCGAGGGTGGCACAGTGGCGCCCGGCTCCAGGATTTCCAGCCAGACACAGCTCTCGCTGTCGCCCCACGGGTGGGCACTGGGCTGCCTGGAAGGGGCGCCCCGCGCCCCCCCCCCCGCCGCCCCTACCTGGCAACGCCATTCTGGAACTCCTCGGTGGCCTGGTAGTAGATGGTGATGGCCACGCGTGCGTCCGTGTCGAAGGTGAACTCCACGTTGTAGTGGACCCTGGCCTTGCCGGCCTCTTCTCCGGGGCCCTTCACTTCCTCAGCACATCTAGAAAACCACAGAGACTTTGGGGGGGCGAGCCGATCACAGGTGTCAATCTGTCTCTTGGAAAGTTTTGTGTGACCTGCGGTGGGCTCTGCTCAGGCCCTCGGCCGGGGGCGCTGGCCTTCTCACCTTCCCGAGGCCCACAGCCGGCTGAGCTCCCCTGCTCACTGGCTGCTGTGGCTTTCGGGCGTTTTTTGGTTTTCATTTTAATCGAAGTTACTACTTAGATCATTTAAATCGCTTCCACAGGGGCCTCCCTGGTGGCGCAGCAGTTGAGTGCTGGGTTGTGAAGCCGCCCGCAGCCTCTGCAGCGCCGGTTCGATCCCCGGCTGCTCCCCGGCCACCGGAGGAGGGTCCCACATGGCGCGCAGACCTCTCCTGCCGCCCGCTGCTCCCCTCAGCAGTGTGCTTTGGTCCTTCTGCCTGCTCTGCTCCCCGCTCTGGCTCTGGTGAATTCTCTCACCCTCCCGCGCTTCTGACTGTACCCAGTGCTTGCATAAATAAATAAAAATAAATCTTAAAATAAATAAATAAATAGATCGCTTCCATGGGCTGGTTACAGAAACAGCAGCAGCCACTCGCTCCACTCCCGCGCAGCTGAGGCCTCTGACTCCACCCGCAAGCCCCCCTGGGAGTGAGCACCCCCCACCACCGCCACCCGGATTCTGTGCAGCTTGCAGCTCACAACTCCCAGGGTTTCTTTCTTTCCCTCCCTGCCGGCCACCCCCTGCCACCTTTTCCGCCCCCCGCCACCCCCAGGCTGAGGCATCACAGTTCCTAAGTTCAGTCCCACATCATGGGGTTACATCGACATTTTTCAGTCCAGCCTCTGCGCATCTGTGATTATTTTTTTTTTCCGGCATGCGTTTCTCTTAGGGTCTGTGGTTATTTAGTTTAGTCTTTTTTCAGTTGCTTAGTTTTCCATCGGCTTCACCGCCAGTCCAAACCCAGGGTCTCCGCTGGTTCTGGGCCATGTGGCCCAGGCCCCTGGGCCTGCTCCCATCTGGACCCCTGGCCCTCGGACCAGCACACAGCGGCCACCCTGGCCCCCTGGTGAGTCCTTTTGCCTCACTTCATGCTTCCTCTTTTGGGGGGCAGGCATCCATTTGGGGGAACACAGCTTCCATCTTCTTGGAAACGGGTGTGCTGGAGGCATAACCTTTCAAGATTTTATTCCACACTTGCACGGCATTGGCAGTCTGGCTAGGTAAAGAATTCTACGTGATAAATACACAAGCAGCCATTTGAAGCATCACCGCCTCCCGGCTGCGGGTCGCTCTCCGGGAGTAGCAGCTGTTGTACCGTGACGCCCTTTCTCGGCACCGATCGTCATGCGGGGCCCTCAGTAGCCTTCCAGTGAGGAAAACCGGTGCCCCGGGGTTCTGGGAAGGCTTTAACTCTGTATGTCTGATTCCCCAAAGAACAGTTTTTATCTCTTCTGCCAAAGGCCTGGCAGCGGCATTCTGAGGGCAGGGGCGGAGGGGAGGCAGGGCCGGGCTGGAGGGCTCCGCACCCAGGCACCTACGTTCACTCAACCCTCTGGTTGGAGCCCAGCCCTCAGGTGTGCCCGGGGCGCCCCTGTCCGGAGAGTCCTGCTTTTGACCTTTCCAGCGGGAAGGGCTGCCCTGGCTGCAGGAAGAGGGAGACCTTCCCGCCAACCCTCTTGAAGCCTTGCACCCCCACGTCCAGGGGCCCCGGCGCTGCCAATTCCGGAGCCTCTTGGACTGTCCCCGAAGGGCTGGTTCTTCCTTCTGCTCACTCAGGAGCCCCAGTTCCTGGTCGCCGGCGGCAGCTGACACTCACATCTGCTTCCTGTTCCTGAAACTCTGTTCCCGTTGCTCTTGTCCCGCCCCAATTCCGTGGAGTCTGCTTTTAAAGAACACTCCATCGTTCAGTGGCCTTTTGAGAAGCAGCAGAAGATGTTCAACCCTCCATCTTTGCCTGAGAATCTGAGAATCAAAATTCACTCTTCCCACAAGCTCGGAGAAACCCAAGCCTTCACCCCAACATCCTCGAGCACCAGGCGTGCCGCTCCCACTGTCCCCTGTGTCCGCACCAGCGCGGAGGCCCGGGCTCCTCATCGCCCGGCACACAGGCTGCAGCCCGGCACGCTCGAGCACCCAGCAACGGAGGGGCTTGGCGCTCGGCTCCAGGGCTTCTCTGTGGTGTCGTCTGGCGCGGGGACTGGGCTCACATGGGCCTGGTCTGGCTCTCGAACCCGTGTCCATCAAAGAGGTGGGGCATGTGTCTGTGGCGAGCGGCGGAGCTGACGACGCTGGTTCCAGGGTCTCCTTAGCCTCCATCTGCAGGACGCCCTGTCTCCCCAAAAGGTGGGGGCCAGCAACAGACTTGCCCATGGAAAAGTGCCCGGCCCCAGAGCTGACCCAAACGGGCAGCAGCTAGAGAACTTCAGGGACAGAGGATATTAAAAAGTAAGAGAAATGAATGGCGGCTCAGGCCAGGAGTTGGGGTTGGGGGGGTCGGGGAGTGAGCACAGTGTGGGGGGGGTCGTCTGGGTGGTGAAAGCCTTCCAGAGTCACACAGCAGTGGGGACCGCCCAGCCCAGGGACACCAGCAGGTGAACTGAGAGTTCTGTGAACTGAATCCCCATACAGGTGCAATATTAAACAAATTATCAGGGAGAAAGCAACGCCCTCATGTCACAAGCCTCGTCTACACAGCACAGGCGGGTCTCCGAGTCACCATCCTTGTACGTTCAGAAAAACCGGGACCTCTGATTTTCCCCAACCGGCTTGTCTCCCCAGGGAGCCAGGGAGCCCGGGGGACGGACTTCTGGTCTCAGGGAAGGACAAGGCGGCCAACGCCGGTGGAGCAGACACTGACCGTGCCGGACAGCCAGCGGGGGACGCTGGGAGCTCCTTGGGGGGCAGGGCATGCGAGACAGAAGAAACAGGGCAAGGTAAAAAACAAGACCCCTATCCCGAGCGCAAATCTCCCGATTCTCACAGAGGCTGGCTGAGGAATCCGCACAGTCCACTGTTCCCCCTCGATAACTTTTCTTTAAAAAATAACCTCATGAAATCGGGATCAAAGTGAAGCTTCGGGGAAGTCTGAACGCTCCAGACGCTAGACACCCATCTAAGGAGAGCGCCGTCTCCCCCGGGGTGGGCGGCCGTCCCTTGGGGGCGGGCGCAGGAGGCCTGGTCCCCGACTTACTTGACGAGTCTCAGGGTGTCCTTCCGGATGTTGATCAGGCTTCGCAGGGTCTTCACAGGTTCTTGGGGAGGCGGGGCTGCATAGGGGAACTGTGGAGACAGAGGGGGGGCGGTGAGCTCACAGCTGGGGGCCGCAGAGCACGCTGGTGAGGAGCGCTAAGGGCTGGCCCCCACTGAGTGAGGACAAGACCCCCCTCATCAAGACCCCTCACGTGAAGGAGCTGCTCGAGGTCACAGCCAGAGGCAGAACTGGGGCTGGATGGGGCAGCAAAAGAGCTGGATTTGTCTGCTCTTTTCCACTCTATGGCGCTTCTTCATGTCGGCACTCAAAACGTGGCTGGCTGATAAAATCTCTGGCGGACGCCCCAGGTTCCCAAGGACACACCGCGGCCACGTTCGTCACTAGAGGCTTTTTCTCTGACCTCGGCCCACAGGGAGCCAGCGGGGCAGGAGAGAGCCACTCGGTGCGCTGGAACTGAGGAAGGCAAGGGAAAGAGAAGCCCCCGCTGTGTGCAGAGCTGAGGCCCAGGCAGAGCCAAGAACGTGGCCCCTGCGGCTCATGGTTCCTTAAGGAACAAGCCGGGAGCTGCCGGGCTGGGGCGGGGGTGTCGCCGAAGGCTCACGGCTGTCTTCATCCCCATCACCATTTACCCGGCCCTTCTCTCCGTCCCCACCCAGATGTCTGGTTTTGCGGTACTGAATTGATGATCATGAGGCAATAAGGGGAAACAGTGAAATATTTAATTGATGTTAGAAAATTAAGAATGATTTAAAATGTTCCCAGTATTGTACTAATGTTAACGGGGCCATGAGCAACTTTTATACCCAGTGCCCAGAGAACCATCTGGTCTCTGAAGCTTTGCAAAGCCGCAGGGCTGGAGTTCAGGCATCCGCCCCACCTCTGCCCACCCCTGCCGTCAGCACATGGCGGCCTGGCACCCTCCACGGCGCCTTCCCCGGTTGTTGCCGAAGGTGGCTTTGACCTGTGATGCGTTCAGCACTGTGGCTGGTAACTCACAGATCTGAGAAGGCGCCTTGTGAGAAACACATTCCATCCACCAGAGGTGCGTTCAGATTATCCACTTGGTGGGTCTCATAGCAACATTTTACTCTTGAAATACGCCAGTTGGCTTTGCTAAGGGCAGAGCGGGACAGGGCCTCGCTGAAAGCTGGAAAATCACCAAAAAGTACAAAATCAGCCATAATCTCACTGCTCGGCACAGCCCAAGGGACCATCACAGCAGGCCTCCGCCGGCCCCACCACTGCCCGGGCCAGCTCTGTCTGCACCTGCTGTTGCGTTGTCTTTCTTCGCTGAGAGAAACAGTGAACACTCGTCAAGTCTGTCACTTGACGCCACCCACACATTAGAGTTGGAGCCGACCTGACTCACTCGGCTCCGAGTTACTCAAAGGCTAAATTGGCTTTACTCTGTGTGGCTCCAGGTGCCAGGGGAAGGCCTTGTCCCGACATTTCCACGTGCCTGTTTGATTATGTCCGTGGGACAAACTCCTGGCAGTGGAATTACTGGATCAAAGAGTAAGCATGTTTGTAAGACTTTTAAAAATATTTTGCCCAATTGTTCCCCGGAAAGCTGGTCCCAGTTTTGCTCTCCTTGTCACCGTGTCGGGGGCCTCGCGTGGAGGCCATCTGTGGCCCGCCCCCACCCCGGCGGTCACACTCAAAGAACCTAAAACAATTTTAAAATAAGCTTAAGCAAAAAGTAATTAGGCAGGAAAATCTGACACAAATGCAAGTCTATGCTAAAGCCAAAATAAATGACTTTGGGATTAAAATTGTTTTCTGGAGTAGCGTCGCTAATCGTGTTCACCTGCACAGGTACCGGGCGTGATCCACGGCTCCTACCTGAATTTCTAAAAAAAGAGGTGGGGATGTTCCTTCATATTTTACCCTTTCTCCTCCACACACCCGCAAAAAAAGGAAAAACAAAAGGAAAAGAAAAAAACAAAAGCTAGCATTATCTTCCATTTAGCACAGAGAGTTGGTAACAGAACAGTTGGCCAGGAGGCCCGAGGTGCTCAGCTCTCAAGGAGAAATAACAGTGGGACTGACTGTGTTACAGGAACTATCCTTTAGACTATAATAAATTCACATTTTTGGAGCTCCCCTCCCTCTCGCCTCCCCAAAAAGTAAAGAATAGGAAATCTGTCAGGTGTGCCTAACCCTGTTTGTGGGCTCGCTCAGGTGAGCCTTCGGGCCGAGGTCGTCTAGAAAGCCTTGAGGAAGAGGTGGCTTTTGATCTGGACTTTTGAAGGACAAATGTAACAAGCATAAATTTGTAAATTCGGTGAGGACAGGGGAAAAAAAAGGAACAACAGCAACAGAGGCAACCTGAAGAAAACATTCTCTGCTCTTCACACAGCCTCTCCCTCCTCCCTAAGCCAGCGCGGGCCCCCACGCCTCTCTCAGCTTCTTTGCGATCTTCTTTACGAAAATGCTCATTTCTTGAGCACTTACTATGGGCCAGGCACTGTGCCGAGCTCTTAGAGAAGGAAGTGGAGTAAGAGGCCCAGCAACCTCCCCGAAGTCCTATAAGATTTTCTTTTTTTTAGATTTATTTTATTTATTTATTTATTCATTCATTCATTTATTTATTTTTTTAATAGAGGCATGTTTTGTTTATTTATTTATTTGTTTGTTTGTTTATACA